CCACCACTGCCCCCTCCTGTTCCCTGCCTCTGCTCCCCCCTTTCCCCTCTCCCTCAGCCTCTCTGCTCTCTCCCACTCCTCTTATTTCCCCTAGAACCTCTCTGCTCCCCCCAGCCCAACCCAGCTCCTGGAACAGCTGTGCAAGTTGCATGCGGTTGCTATGGGGCTGGGCTGGGTCCACGCTCAGTGCCCCAGGCTGCAGCATGCACAGTGCCTGTTGATGCGGAGCAAGGGGAAAGGGGGAAAGGGAGAGGGGTAGGTAGGGGAGTAGAGGCTGTGTGGGGGCAAGAGATGGGGGGAAGAAACTTTAGGGGGGAGCGAGTGAGGTGCAGAGGCAATGGGAGTGTGGGGGGGGCAGGCATCAGCTATGACTATGGCCATGAACCTGGGTAGAGGCTGAAGCCTGAGCCATGGCAGCTGCCTGCCCCATGCCACCCCCCACCCCACTCAATTTTAAGACAAGGTTTTTTCCCCCCCTCCCCCCATGTTAAATGCAGGGAAAAACCTTGTCTTAGAATCAAATCAATACACTACTCTAGGACCACAAAGTGACATGAAAGCCAAGTGCCCCAGCAAGACATGCAGATTAAGGTGCAAAGAATGACACACCAAAGCACTGTCTCTTAAATGCCGAGTGCCATTGGTGAGGCACCTGCTAAAGTTGCCTTGATATGATTAGCAAAATATTTCTGCCCTTGACAAATAGCATATAAAGGGCCTGATTGTTATTACACTGATTTTAACCCAGTGCATTACACCTGGTTTATTCTGGCATGAGACAGTTGCCCCGCAGATTTTCTCCACAGCTTGGTATGGTTAAGTGTTGTCCCTACCCCCATCTTGTTCTGCTTGCTGCCTTTACATAGAAAAATGGTGCTCATGTTGAAACAAACCAGGTCCCCCACTGCTTCTCCTTCCCTCTGTGTCTCTGAACACGCTGAACCAAATTCTGCTTTCACACTGGTTTGCTGTCCACTTATATAGACACCTGATTTACATCTCTGTGAGGAAAAATCAGACCCTTTCTCTCAAGAGTGTCTGTTCTATACCTGCCAATACTTCAACACTGAAGTGCTCAAAAGAGTGAAATCTAAATGACTCCAGCAGGGTTCCTAGGTCCTGAGAATCAGCCCATGCGTTACTATAGACCAGTGGTTTTCAACCTGTGGTCTGTGGACCCCTGGAGGTCTGCAGACTACATCTAAGGGGTCTGCAAAAGATTATTATGATAAATCAAAAATATGTGAATACCCATACTTACAAGTCAAAGGGGTCCGCACCTCCATTCAACATTTTTTAGGGGTCCACAATTGAAAAAAGGGTGAAAACCACTGCTATAGACAATAGGAATATACAGAAAAAACCATTGCCAAGTAAATCAAACTCATCCATGTGCACAGCAAAAAGCACAAGTGATCAGTGAAAGTGGGGAGGAAAGTGAGGAATGTTGGCCACAAACTCAGTCTTGCAAGAATAAAGTACAGATAAATGCATCTTAAAGATACCAGAAAAAGCAAACCTAAGTGACGGTATTTAGGGTCACACAAAAGACAAAGTGCTTCATCTGGTGCTAAATGCTCCAGTTATCAGTACTGTCACCAAGTCACTTGTTCTCAAACGATAGCAGTAACTAAAAATTATCTGGATGCCATCCATCCATGCAGTAATCATCAAACTACTTAAAATGCTAGAGTGCCTCTGAAATGATGTAGGGATTGTAAAATACCCCCCAGCTCTTTAAGGAAAGGTTTGGAAGTGAAGTAATGCTCTAAACCTGAAACTTGGACAAATTCCCTACTATACAACAGCTTTTGTTTTCCATATTGAACGGCAATCTCCTGTACAAAAAAATTTACTCTTTAATAAACAACATATCAATGATAAGAAATGATATAATTTTTAGTGCTCAAACTAAATTGAGTGTAAAATTCAAGGTTGGTTAGAATCATGAAGAAGAGTTAATACAGCATCAAAGGACTGTTTTCCAGTGAATGTTATAGTTACAGAGCCAAATTCTCCTGTCAGCTACACCGGCAAAATGCAGAACAATGCCACAGACTTTAAAGGAATTATTTCAGATTTACACTGATGTAACGGAACAGAATTTGACCTAGATGCACTCTGGATTCCTTTTATCATATTTTCTTTCATCATCCTTGTAACAACATTGTGATGGTACCTTTAATAACAAAATTACCTGTGGGCTTTAAGAATCCTCTGAGCAATTGCATCTCCAATCTTGTTCGATACAACTCTGTCATCAGCACAGCTAATAAAAAATTGGTTCTATGGGAAAAGTGAGCAAAAAAGAATCATCACTGCCTTTTTGCCAAAGATAAGAAAGGAAGGGTGGTTCAGAACTTGGATCTAGGACTCATGGCCTCTGTATTCACCGCCCCACTCTGCTACTGACGTTGTGTGACCCTAGAGAAGAAGTTGCTTTGTCTCTCTATTCCTCTTAAGTTTCTTACCTTGAAGTGGGGAAAATAACACATTCCTAATCTCCCAGAGACGATGCAAGGACTGAAGCATTCAACCATGGAGAGGCATTCAGATATTATAACAGTGGGGGCCATGAGTAGGGTCACAGATAGTTAAATAAATGACTTGGAAACCATTTTGCTACAATTCAAAGGGAACTTTTTTTGTGGAACAGCAGAACAAAATTGACACAATATAGCAGGAGTACTTAACTTGTACAAAAATCTTCCTACCTGCATGCTTGATGTTTATTCGGATAAGATACCTCCCTCCCCCCACTAAACATAGCATCAAAACAGACTACTGCATCAAAATAAACACCACAAGAAATAATAAAATCATTACACTTTGTGGCTTTAGCAAGGTACAGTGCATACCCAAGTGAATGATTGCTTCCCAAGCAGGTAACTGTCTTTGGGGAACTCTCTGGGTTCTTGTGGGACTCTGACACATGCAGTGAAATCCTTTCCCATTGAAGTCAACTAGACTTTTGACACAGACTTCAACTAGACCAGGATTTCATCTATGGTCCCTAAAGAAAATAAACCTTCTATCTTACAGGTACAGGAGACTTGTTATACTATATTTTGTGCCAAGAAGCAATGAATGTTATAGCCTGCAGAACATCTTCCAGGGTGGCAATGTATTATTTTAATTAAGAGGCATCTGCGAGTGTGATAAGGAAATTATTCTTGATTAATCCCCCTCCTTAAAAACTAATGAAAAAAAGGATCCAAATAATAGCCTGAAAAGGATGTACAGTAAGTGTCTCAGTTAGCCATTTACTTCAAAATTTACAGGTCCATTTATATGCAGGAAAATTATGCAGGTTCTCAGATTCCATGAAGTGCATCACACACTGATGGGAGACCATGCCTAGGGTTGGAGATGAAGCAGGGGACACAAAGAGGGACACAAAGAAGCTGAAGGAGCACTGCATGGAAGAGGGAAACCACTAAAGAAGTGGTTCCTAACTGCGGTGCCGCAGCACGCTTTGGGCCCTGCCCTGTGCGCCTCTGTTTCCAGGAGGCAAGTGACGGGCTTGGGAAGCAGCTTTGGCAGGAGGGGGTTTTCTTGTCTGCAGTAGGTTATTTCCACCCCACTCTGCTGCAGCCACTTCCCAGTCTGGCCCCCACCCAAACCTCCTGTAAATAGGGGATGCCACTAAATTCATAAAAGTTATGGAGGGGTGCCATGATCCTTAACAGTTCAAGAACCCCTGCACTAGAGATTCTGGAAAGAGGGGTAGTAACAGATGGGCCTTGTATTTCCTTCTACATTCAGAATTCAGTACTGGTATATTATTTACAGGACTGATCCAAAGGCCATTGCTGTTAATGGAAACAATCCCAAGGCCTTATTGGATTCCAGATAAGGCTTCATATATGCCACATGTTTCTCAACTAACCAACATCATCCCACTGAAGGGCAAAGGCTACTCTTAGCAAGACAAAAATGTAGCCTAATCTTGACTTGCCTCAAGAGTACTTACTTCTATATATATGTAATGTTTGCTGTTCTCTATCACGTTAATATAGGCAGTGTGGATGGATTCTTCATGATACTTAATGCCAGCTGACCAATCAGCAGCAGAACGGAGCACCTGGAAAGTGAAAAATTAGCAATTTTAGTTCTGTCCCAAAAGCACAAAAACACTCTTTACCAATTTTACAGAAAGTGCTCCTGACTGCTTAGTTTATTTGTCAAGATTTCCCTGTCTTATGTAATACATGATATTTGTTGCTTACATGCTAAATATTGGGAACTGCAGTTTAAGACTGTTAAAAAATTAAAACATTTTGATCCATTACTAAATTAATCCCATTGTATGTGAGAATAGCTTCATTGAAATCAGTGGAATTACAGCTGGATGATAACTGAAGTCATACCATACTGTGTCAGTCTGTTTCTGCAAAAGTATAAGGCTTAGTTTGAAATTGGTTTAAAATATTTTAAGTTTGATCTTATACTAATTGAAGTTGAAGGGGAAAAAACTCACTGATTTCAGCAGTGCAAGATTAGACCTTTATTTCTGACCTGTAGGCTTGCACACCTTCCATTTTAATGATGAGGTCCCAGTTGAAATGAATAAGTTTTGTCTTAGATACCATGGCACCTTATATAGAGGCTGAGCACACAACGTTTTAAACCAGGAATAACAGTCTTTGTCCTAGGCATAAGTTCCCACTTTTTAAATGAAAAATTCTTCCTAAAAATGCCACTTTTCTGATATTTTTTATTTAAAAAATAAATTCACAAAGAATTCACAGCTCAAATTCACACGAAAATGATTTTGGACTGCAAATCCCAAGAGTACCACAGAGTGCCACAATGCAGTGCCAAAGCTTCAAGACAAAGATCGCCAAACGAGCACAGGAAAGAATCTTTGCTCACATTCTCTCCCAGGCTGAATTTTTTTCACTGCTGAAATTCTTGCCTGTGCTCAGATACTTGCTTGCCTCTGTAACCATCAGCTCCTACTCACTGACCTTCCCCCAGTGTCATCTCATGCCTATTCCTATACTTTGTGTCAAAAAACAAGCAAAGCTACAACACTTTGCTGGATGGCAATGTATTATTTTAATTAAATGGTGTCTGTGTGTGACCTCAGGGGGAATAATTGCTCATGATTAATCCCACACTTTAAGCGCTACCAAGCAAAAAGCATCCAAACAATAGCCTGAAAATAAGCATCTCCATTCAGCCATTTATTGCAACACTTACAGGTCCATTCATACAGGGGTGAATTATTTAAGCCCTAAGACTCTACTAAGTATGTGCATCACTTTGGACAGCTCCCATTCCTCTCATGCGACGCCCTTCGAAGAATTCTCCAGTGGACTTTTCATATTTCGCCATGTTCCAGTCAAGGGTCTGGTTCTCACCTCGCTGTTCTCCTCCTACACCGCTGACCTCACCTCTCTCCCCATGTCCTCCCACCCTCTATTCTCGACCAAAGTCCTTCCAATCCAACTTCATCATCTCCTCACCCACATTACACTCTTGCTTGGAGCAGTCTTTCAATCTATGTGGTAGTCATCTTCCTCACTGACGAGAAGGACTGAACTAGGGACCTCCAGAGCTAATGCACTTGTTTCTACAGTTAAAGATGAAGAGTAAAGGGCAAGTTCTCAATTACTATTAAAATATTGTAGTTCAACTGTGAAATTATCATTGTTCAGTTGGCTTCAGTAAAACAATGGTAATTTATGCCAGCTAAGGATCAGCAGCTCTGCAGCTGAGGGCTATACCCAGCCCAAATCTTTCAAAGTTCAGGCCCAACAGGGGAAAAAGCATGGCATATAGCCAGTGGGTCACATATTTCTTTTGAACAAATGAAGGTCATCCCAAGCATACAAGACGCAGAGCAGGTCAAATCCTGGGGAAATCTCCACTTATATGAAAACTGCTGTTTTGGCAATTACTGGGGATTGACCTGGAGAGCTCCAGAGTTGAGAGACTGAGTCATGACAGCTGGAGTTGCAGAGCCAGCCCTTGTAGCCAAGAGATGCAACCAGACTTGCATCCTTCATGAATGAAATGCCACAGTGGACATGCACCCCTCACTGACCAATGGGGTATGTGGACACGAACTAAGTGATTCTAATGGCAGAGCTCAACATTCCTGGAAGGTCACCTCCTGCTACCTCATCTGCAAGCTGTTCACCTCCAGGACTACTGTTTACAAAACAAGTGCTAAACATTTGCATGGTGCTTCACAGGTCTAAAGCACAGGTAAACTAAATCTCTGCCAACCCCTTACGGAAAGCTGAGCACCATGACCCTTGTCTGAAATCCAGCAGAAGCAGTCAAGAGTAATTTTCTTATAGCACTCAGCGGCACCATGCAGGACTGAGCTCCCAAATAACTCTTCACAATTCCCTCGGGGTAAAGATATCATCATCCCCTCAACATTTAGGAAGACAAAATCACTTACTGTAAACAGAAACTAACAGTTTAATTTTTCTTAAACACTCATCTTGGTCAGCATACAGTTTTGTGACTCCTTACTAGGTCTGTGCGAGTAGGCAGCTATTCAATCTGGCTTCAGATACGGCTGCTCCGGATGCCAGGGATCCAAAACGTAGCTCCGGACCGAGTTTTTGCTTTGATCCGCCAGAAGCAGCTCCAAAACTTCAGAGCCGCCTCAGAGATCCGGCCATAGGGTATAATGGGGAAATCAATGAAATATCTATACCTTTGTTGTTTTTTGTCTGATTTGGATGAAACGTGCAGGGGTGCTGGCCTCTGCTGAGAGCACGAAGCCTGCAAAGCTTCAAGAAGATCAGTGCAGGGGTTTGGGGGGACCTGCACCCCGAATTCTTGAAAGCAAGACTCATGTCACGTGTATGTGTTACACCACAGGGGGTGAAAACTGCAGGGGTAGTAGCCCCTGGTGAGGCCACAAAGTCTGACAAATTTCAAGTTGAAAGTTGCAGGGGTTTGGGGGGAACTGCACTTCAAGCTGCTGACAGGCAAAACTTGTAACACAGATGACCCTGTGTGTGTTAAGGTGCAGCAGGCTGAAAACTGCAGGGATGGTGGCCCTTGCTGCAGCCACAAAGCCTGCCAGCTGTCGAGATTGGTGCAGGGCTTCTGGGTTCTGGTGCCCTGCACCTCTAGCTGCTGACAGGCAAAACTCCTGACGTGGGTGCTTGTGCAACTGCTATCTGTGTCTTGGGGCAATTGATTGTCTGTATTGTCCTCTCCTTAGTCTCTGGCTTTGCATGTGTTAATTGATGCTAATTAACTGGCTACATTAGCTAGCAACTATGTATTAGCTGGTCCCTGAGTGAATCATGACTGACTGGTAACTGGTAACACAGTAGCTTAGCAGCCAGCCCTGCAGTAGTTCCCCGCCCCCCACCCCAAGACAGAGACAGTCAGTTGCACAAGCATCCATGTCATGAGTTTTGCCTGTCAGCAGGCAGGCTTCATGGCCGACGCAGGGACTACCATCCCTGCAGCTTTCACCCTGCTGCACCTTAACACAAACAGTGTCACCCATGTCATGAGTTTTGCTTGTCCACAGTTTGAGGTACAGTTTCCCCCAAACTTCCCTCCTTAAACCTTGGCAGGCTTTGTGGCCTCAGCAGGAGCCACCACCCCTGCGGTTTTCAGCCCGCTGCACCTTAACACACACAGGGTCATCTATGTCACAAGTTTTGCCTGTCCCCAGCTTGGGGTGCAGTTCCCCCCAAATCCCTGCACCGATCTTGTTGAAACTTGGCAGGCTTTGTGGCCTCACCAGGGGCTACCATTCCTGCAGTTTTCACCCCCCCTGTGGTGTAACACGTAGACGTGACATGAGATTTGCTTTCAAGAATTTGGGGTGCAGTTGCTCCCAAACCCCTGCACCGATCTTCATGAAACATAGCAGGCTTCATGCTCTCAGAAGAGGTTACAACCCCTGCAAATTTCATCCAAATCTGACAAAAAACAACAGAGTTATAGATATTTTATTGATTCCCCATTATACCCTATGGCCGGATCTCCGAAGCGGCTCTGAAGCTTTTCCAAACTGCTTTGGAAGCTCCGAACCACTTCAGAAAGACTAACGAAGCCAGTGCTTTGATCCGGACATGCTGCTTCAGATGACAAAGCGTCCAAAGCTTCTCCGGATCTGAAGCATGGTCCGAAGCCTCGCACAGCCCTACTCCTTACCTACAGCTGGCTGCCTTGTGTGTTTTATTCTGCAAGAATTTCTCTGCAGGCTGTATCACTGAAGCAAAGAGCTACGACTCCTTTCCAAGAGCTCTTGACAGTTGCAGGAGCCAGTTGCTAAGTCTGGGAAACAGTTTACAGCGATAGGATTTTCAGTCTGTGGTGCCTGGACCTCTCACAGCTCTCTCTGGCCAGTTGGCTGACACCACTTGCTAATGACTTTGTGCTGTGGCAGGTGTGAAATTGCACACTCACCGAGAATGGGATCATCTTGCAGAGGAAATAGTTTGCCAAGTTGGATGCGTCTTATTCTGTGATTTATCTTCCATTCTAGTCAGAGGCTCCATTTTCTACTCATCCATAAATAACGATGTACAAATCACCCATAACTGGTTTAATTAAAACAAGATGAACCAAGAATATGCTCTCCGTGTCCTCACACTCACATGCATTAATAAAGTCTGAATATACAAGCGTGCAGGAATTCAAGGGTTACAAGGTTAGTCTATGAAATATTAACTGGCATGTTGTGATATATATTCCTGATGCATACTAAACTAAGATTTTCTGCCAACAGAGGAGAGCTAAGCAATTCCTTAAACATCTCAGGCACTGACAGAAATGATGGTTTTTCACATGATTGGGCCCCTGAAGTGCTCTACAGTCATGCACTGACAGAAGAGCATGGCTGCAGAGTGCTTTAAAAATGCCCAATTGCACGACAATCTGAATTCTCATTACATGAGGATTCAGATGAAGGCGGTCCAAATCAGAGCACCTTCAATGTTTGTAAGCATGTGCTGTGAGCAGTTCCTGGTGCTTTCTTCGAATGGGAGGGGGAAAAGGGAGGGGAGGGAGTTCAGTCTGGGGTTTGCTCAGCCTGTGCATGGAGAGACTGA